TAGGGCCACAATTTAAGGTTGTGCACCACTTTACCGTTCCCCCATTGCTAGCCGCTATCAAGTTTCTTTTTCGGGCCTTTAGCTTCTTGCAGCTACCGTCTATTACAACGTTGGCGCAAGGGGCATCATAACTTTATTCCACCCACACCATGGCAGCCTGAGTGGCGGTTTGACTTGCTCGCCCCGCCCTCCAGATCCTGTTCCCGGATCATGACGCAATAATGAGTCGTCTAGAGTAACGGTTTAAGAAAAATTTGTTTTGTTTATTCTCAATTGGCAATAAGTTAGCATTCCGGCGGATATGCACATTTTGTCGCTGAAGGGTGACCGGATTCGATACGACACGCCTACCAAGTGAGGTAATTGCCACCGTAGCGCAACGAGCATGGCGATCTGGGCTTGCCTTGGGTGGCGTCAATACGTAAGTAACCGCAGCCGAGACGGTGGCATTGGGGCCATTTAGGCCCCAAGTTCACCGCCCTTAATATGCATGTGGTCGCATTAGAATGTGTTTCATCGGGGACCAGCCGACTTTCTCGTTCCCAGGAGTAGGAAGCTAAGGCAAATCGACACCATGCGAAATTCAAGTGGGAAATGAAGAACACGCGAAATTCAAGAGTGGGAAATGGAGACCATGCGAAATTCAAGATTGGGAAATGGGGATCATGCGAAATTCAAGTGGGAAATGGGGACCATGCGAAACTCAAGAGCGGGAAATTGGGACGATGCGAAATTCGAGTGGGAAATTGGGACCATGCGAAATTCAAGTGGGAAATGAAGAACATGCGAAATTCAAGAGTGGGAAATGGAGACCATGCGAAATTCAAGATTGGGAAATGGGGATCATGCGAAATTCAAGTGGGAAATGGGGACCATGCGAAACTCAAGAGCGGGAAATTGGGACGATGCGAAATTCGAGTGGGAAATTGGGACCATGCGAAATTCAAGAGCGGGAAATGGAGACCATGCGAAATTCAAGAGTGGGAAATGGAGACCATGCGAAATTCGAGAGTGGGAAATGGCGACAATGCGAAATTCAAGAGTGGGAAATGGAGACCATGGGAAGTTCAAGTGGGAAATGGCGACAATGCGAAATTCAAGAGTGGGAAATGGAGACCATGCGAAATTCAAGAGTGGGAAATGGCGACAATGCGAAATTCAAGAGTGGGAAATGGAGACCATGCGAAATTCAAGTGGGAAATGGAGACAATGCGAAACTCAAGTAGGAAATGGCGACAATGCGAAATTCAAGAGTGGGAAATGGAGACCATGCAAAATTCCAGAGTGGGAAATGGAGACCATGCGAAATTCAAGAGTGGGAAATGGGGACCATGCGAAATTCAAGAGCGGGAAATTGGGACCATGCGAAATTCAAGAGTGGGAAATGGAGAGCGTACGAAATTCAAGAGTGCGAAATATAGACCATTCGAAATTGAAAAGAGTGCGAAATATAAACCATTCGAAATTGAAGAGTGCGAAATATAGACCATTCGAAATTGAAGAGTGCGAAATATAGACCATTCGAAATTGAAAAGAGTGCGAAATATAGAGGATTTGAAACTCAAGTTTGGGAAGGATTTAAGACAAAAATTCTTGTATTTATTGGTTTCTGCATTGACTATCAGGGTATATTTTACCCAATCAAATTGAAGCAAAATAAGGGGCCCTTCTCATTGGTAACGTATTCCCTACACTCCTATTGGTCAACTGCTAATCGCTATTACGTTTTAGTTAAGCCAGAAGGATCCAGTCTTAAGACATTTCCTCAAAAGCTGTCACGTCTCCGTTTCCGCTCGTTAAGTTATGAGTGCTGCCGCTGAATCCGCTGCGGCCAAGAAGGCATCAAAGCCGGCTTTGCCCAAGGTAACCGCCGCCCATCCCCCTGTCCTCGACATGGTTAGGTCTGCCATCATCTCAGCCTATGACCGTAAAGGATCATCCCTGGCTACAATTAAGAAGCATATAGCTGCCAACTATAAGGTTGACGTTGAGAAGTTGGGCCCACACATCCGCCGTTGCATCACCCATGCTGTCGACAAAGGTGTGCTCGCACGCGTTGGCAACAAAGGAAAAGGGGCCTCGGGCAGCTTCAAAGTCGCCGAAAGATCGACCAAGCCGAAGGTTGCCAAGCCTAAGACCCCGAAGAAAGGCAAAGCTCCGAAGCCCAAGGGAGACAAGAAGGCTAAGTCTGTCAAGCCCAAGGTTTCAAAGCCTAAGAAAGCCAAGACGCCCTCAAAGCCCAAGGCAGAGAAGAAGGCAAAGGAGCTGAAAAGGGTGAAGACACCTAAGATGGTTAAGACCCCCAAGCCGAAACCCGCCAAGAAGGTCAAGGCTGCGCACGCCAAGCCTGTCAAAAAGCCTCTAAAGAAGACAGAAGCTAAGTAGACAGGCTTGTTCGTCCGCAGTCCTTTGTCTGAGGCAGATCCGGAGAACGCGATACCGGCCCTCTTCAGGGCCACAAATCCGGTTTGTCTTGTTCGTTAGTTCCCGAAAAGTGTATCATCACGTGAAAGGTGGACTTCGCTAGCTGGAATGTGGTCTCCACATCGTTAGGACTAAGATCCTGCTAATTTTGCTCTTCTACATGCGTTCGTCTGGGGCGGGATGGGGGGGGGTTCTGTAGAATCACGTCATTATCAAACTCCCAAATAATCGATTCTCGACACCCTTTGGGTGTTCTAAATCCGCCTGTACATCTGACACCTTTAACCTAACTGTTGTCTCCTCGTTCGCTTGCGAGTTTGACCACTTGCTAAATATTGTTGCGTCTAGGTGAGTCACGTCTTCTCCAGCGTGGCCCTCTATCGTTCTTTGTTGTGAGCGATCGATGCTCCACGATCGGCGCCGTTCGTTGGTTATAAATTCACTAATTTCCCTGAAATCTTAGTCGCAATTTCAAACAAGCCGGGCATTGGTAGCTTTACTGCATTGAACCCAACGTGACTAGTCAATGGGTCACGGGAACTTGGTAGTGTTGTCACTAAGTTTTGGTGCATCGCTTCCTGCGAAGTTTCATCCGAGAAGTTCGGAAGACTCAACGAGCGGGGCGCGCTTGCTCGAGCATCTTCGTCTATCATTCTTGGCTATAAGCCAGTCTGTGCCATCGGACTGGCGAAATCTAACCTCGGTTTGAGACAAACGTCCTTGCAGACAAGCTTCTAAGCAAGTTTTTTTAATCATATACCGGTCGAGGCTTATTTGGCGGTCGCTGGCCGCGGTAAAAAAACGCAAACCTTGTTGGGATTTAACCAGTGCTAATTCCCAAGTGGTCGACAAACGACAGGCATGCAGAGCATACGAAAGCTGTTGATTATGTTATGAGCGCCCCTGTAGATTGATTAGTAGCATAACGCATTGAACACAAGGGTAAGTGGTGTCTGGATCACGGGCGCCTACAAGTGTTGCCACTAATAATTATCAATTCTATTTGGGTGTTCTAAATCCGGCTGTACATGGGTTGACAGATCCAACACCTTTGCCCTAACTATTGTCTCCGTCTCGTTCGCTTGCGAGTTTGGCCACTCGCTAAATATGGTTGCGTCAGGTGATTCACATCTTTACCAGCGTAGCCGTCTATCATTCTTTGTTGTAAGCGAGCCATGCTCTACGATCGGCGCCGATCGTTGGTTCTAAATTCACTAATTCTCCTGAAATGCTACAGTATCAATTTCAAGCAAGCCAGTCTTGCCCTTCGTCGGAGTTTGGCAAAGGCAAGAATAACCGGAGAGTACGCAAGAGTTAACCGAACCAGCCCAGGTTAGTAATCTGGTGAGATGGTCCAACGAATCTGTCCTTCGTGCGCTTTCACTCCAAATAATGTTCAGTTTTCGGTACGCATGCTGAGCATGTTCTAAGCGTCTTTGCACATTGGTAGCTTTACTGCATTGAGCCCAACGTAACGGGCACTTGGTAGTGTTGTCACTAAATTTAGACGCAGGTTGTTACAAACTGGATTCGAGGCAAGTTTTTCCATCATATGCTCATCATAGAGACTTAACTGGGTGGCCACTAGCCGCGGTAAAAAAAAACGTAAAAACACGGCGGGATTTAAGTAGTGCTAATGCCTGAGTAGTCGATTCTCGACAAACATGCAGTACATACGAAAGCTGGAGAGTATGGTATGAACGCGTCTGTTAACCCAATAAACCCAAGAGTAAGTAGCGTCCGGGTCGCGGGCACTTACTAGTGTGGCCACAGAATTTTGGGAAACGGCTTGTTGCCTCAGGTTAATTGTGAGGTTACATGCTAAATATTGTTGCCCAAAGTTGAGAAGACCCAGTTAGCACGGGCGGGGCGCGGCCGCTCGAGCATCTCCGTCTATCTTGGTTATAAGTTAGCCTCTGCGCCACGAGACCGGTGCTAAATCTAACCTACTCGGTTGTAGAGCCACATCGTTACAAACCAGATATGAGGCTTAATTGGGCGGCCACTGGTCGCGGTAAAGAAGCCATAGAAAAAGAGAATTTGCCGGGGTAAAGGCCATATGGAAGCTAGAGGGAATGATTTCACTAAATCCTTAGATTGTTTAATAACTTAATATACAAACAAAATTAAATGAAAGTTATATCAAGCTTAGGGACACTTGTGGATCAGTCTCCTCTTTTTTGTTAAAATTAGTAACGAGGAATCTACAGGAAAAATCGTAACCTGTGTTCTAAATAAAATCAACACCTCCAGGACATATAAAGCTAAATCTTTATCGAAAAGCCTGCACAAATTTTTACTAAAGACACTCTTAAGAAGCCCAGGCCTAATACAATAGACCAGATGAATGGGAATTATCCAACCAGATTAGACTTGCAAAAAAGAGCTCTAAGACGATAAAATGTAGATGGAACCCCCAAAATGTAAACGTTGAGCTGGAGGGCGACGAATTGAAGCTGTTAGATCATGTCTAAGCTAATGAAAATTAATCGACACGTACGATCATGCTTAGACATAAGTGCTGTTGTCAATTCAATTAAATATATATAACATCAAGTTAACTCCTACACGATCCAAAATAATCCATGCGGGCAAATCCGTAAAACTAACGTTTCTACGTATAATACATCCTTAGCTAAACAAGACAAAAAATATTACCAATTCCTACGAGAAAATGACGCATGGTAAACCCTTGCACAAAATAGAGAAAGCAATTCCCGGTTCCACTTTTATTAAAAAATCATGTAATAAATTCAGTTCTATCTTTCTTAAGTGCACCCTAAAATAACAGTTAGCTTTATTCAACAAGTTTACCATGAAGGAACTCTTCTCTGCAGTAGTCTGGAAGCGTCCATGTCCGAACTTTGACGAAGTATCGATGAACTTAAGCGCGATTTTTTCTTTTGCTCGTCTATTTGACTGTGTGATCAAAGTTTTTCTTAAAGTAATGACTCGTTTTTTCGGTCCCATACAACAGCCTTTAATCATTACATAATCGTTTTTGACAATGCCATAGTGCGGGAACCCCCCCATTGGAGTAATATTCTTTGGTGTAAGGTCGTGCAATGTTGAAGCATTTCCCTGAGGTTGTACTGGAGCCAACTTATCATCTTTGGTGTTCTCTACTCTTGCAGCTTCTGACTGGGCCTGTATACCTATAAAAAATAAAAAGGAAACAAATATTACCGAGCCCGATTCTATAAATTTTTTTGTTAAGCTCTGTCCGATGAAAATAACCTTTTTGGCCAGCTCTTGCTACTGTCCTGCCAACGCGAGCAGGATGCCAGGCGCCAATACAGGCTACTTTACGTAGTCCTTTATGTGTTTTACGCGGCAACTTCTTTGTATGCCACCTAGAGGTAACCCCTTTAAAGCCCTTTCCCTTTGTGACACCAATAACATCAATCATTTCTTCTTGAGAAAAAACGTTAGCGACTGGTATCTGTTTTTCCAGCCTTTGACGAGCCCAATCTACTTTTTGGGAAACAGTTCCTCCGTTAACCTGAATTTCCATTATATGAGCCTTCTTCTGCCTTCGCTTCATTAGTCTCATCTAAAATTCGTAAAAAGTCTAAACAAACTTGGGTGTGAGCTATTACGCGAATGACACAGCAATATTTCTTCATCTTCCTGATGTCTCTGTTGATCGCGGCAACCCCAGCA